GGGTTAAAATCTGCTGTAAATGCACACACCTTGCATGTAAAGGAAAAGTTTTGTTCCTAAATAGGTATCGTTTTCGTGCAAGACCGGATGCAATTTCGTTTCTAAAACTGGACAAATTGTGTGTAAAAACCTTACGGTAAACCGTGAACTATGGTAATTTAAAAAATCTTTCCCTCCCGTACCGCACTTGTTGTACTTTCACTGTGAAAAATAGTAGGTAGGTTTACAGGAAAAATTTTCCTTGACGCAAGTTGTAAAATTACAATTTGGAATCGTAAAAATAAATGCAGTACGCATCGACTTCAAATCCGTTGGAGAGTAAAAAATGTGCTCTCGGAAATTTACAACTTAAATTATGATTCAAGTTTACAAAAATTTTGTAAATTTACGACGATATTTTTGATAGTGTTTATTATTTGCAATCCCCGGCCTGAAGTCTGCTGATCTCTCTGCGGCAGGTGCATGCTTGGCTCGGTTCTGCATGCGCTCGGCGGGGCGGGCGCGTGCGACCCCGCGGGTGTGTCGCCGTCCCCCTCAGCTGCGCAGCGCTGCTCCTGCTCGCCATGTACGGAGGAAATCTTGATGCGCCCAGGATTGCTCTCCTCTTGTTTGTCTCCATTACCCGGCGGCCACAGGGCTCATTGCAAGCGCCGCCGTCCAGCGCCACGACAGCAGCAGACGGTGCAGATTATCGCCGACTCTTACCGACTCCTGCTCATAGCGATCCGGTCGGATCCGGTACATCCCCGCGAAAATTCATCGTGTCTTACCGGAACATCAGAGACTAAGCGAAATGTTTGAATTGGAATAGAGTTTAATCGGCTTCCGTCTTCGTGTGAAGGTGTTCAAATCATTGTAGGACCCCTGTCCTTATCTCCATTAAACGTGCAATTCATGACTTTGCACGCTTAACGTGGAGTGCACGATCTATAAGTTTCGTAAGTATCGATAGTCTGCACATTTACACAGACACATACAGGCTGCTGGCCTAACAGTGTAACCTATGTATTTCGCAACGTTCTCAAAGCTTGCTCTCATATTGTATAATCTAGGTAGACTCACTCATGTATCTAAGCTTTGCACACTTTAAACGAAGACATCAGTCGACACGTGGTTTACCAGTATACAAGAAGAAAACTTTTCAAAGATAAGCAAAGCTCCGTCGTAAGGCTCTTTTTCAATGGTATCTTTCAGGAGAGTACGTTTGTTTGCTTTCTCGTCCCACGTCGTGGTGCACTACTTGCACTCGCCACTGACGCTCGTTATATGATTCAGTGAAACTGCACAAACTGCATACAACCCTTTTCTCATTCCGAGACGACGACGCGATTACCCCCGCGCTCGAGCCGGCTGGAGCCCCGCGCCGAAACAATCCGACTCTACAACGAGACTTAAGCGCGTGACATCATTTTATGGTTCGAACAATGGCGGCGTTTAGTCCGACACGTTTCTCAGCGGGAACGGGACGACAGGGCGCCCGCGAGCGAAAGTCCTCGGCTGCCGATAGAGTGGCGGTGATTTGGAGCGATCACGGCGACGCGGGGAGGGCGAAGCAGGCTTGTAAAAGTGGCGACAAGCAGCAGCATTGCGGCTGCGGCACCGCGCTGCTCGCTCACTGGGCGACGTGTGGCTACAGCCGTCTCTCTGGACAACACACATTTTTGTTGTCTGCGGCGCTGAGGGGGAATGCAACGTCGTCGTGGCTGTGATTACCGAGAGAATGGAAAGAAAAGGGAGGGGAAGGAGATGAGCGGGAGGGAGGAGGGGGGCGGGGGCTCATGGGTGCACAACAATGTGGGGACGGGATTGATGCGAGCGGAGCGGACGTAAAACAACACGCACGCCGGCACAACACACACACACACACACACACACACACACGACACGCGTGCGCGCGCGCGCGGACGCACACGAGCGTTCGCTGGCATCGCGGGTGGAATAGGGGCGCTGTGTCGCGTGATTCTGAGAACACCCTATCATTTTGTGCAGCGGGACACACATCGGTCACAACAGGTCCGCCCATTGTCGACATTGTCTCCCTTGTACTTCCACACCCGCCCTTCTCTCTCTCTCTCTCTCTCTCTCTCTCTCTCTCTCTCTCTCCCTTTCCCTCTTCTCCTCCTGGAGTGGCACGGTAACTTCCGATTCGGCCTTTGCTTGCAGCGTTGGCATTGCGCCGTGTTTGTGAATTTAGATCGCAGGTGTCGCCGTCTGTTGTTTTAGTTGCCATTTGCCTCGTGTGAACAGAGAGGGAGAGGGAGGCAGATGGGGCCGTGCGGG